CTCCACCCCTTTTTCCTTACTTAAAAAAAAAAGAAAAAGAAAAAACGAAAACAACGATTTCTTCTCTCTCTCTCTCTCTCTCTCTCCCGTTATAAATATATTTTTATTTTTTTTCAATTCTCAACAATCGAATTGGATTTTTATTTCGTTCCGTTAGTTAGAATTACGATTATCATTCGTTTCATTTCACGAATCTTTTTATCCTCCTCTCTCTCTTTTTTTTCTAAGGATTAAGAAACCACAAATCTCACAAGAAAATACGCGAGGTCGGTCCTCGACCAGTTTCAAAAACCACCCGCACTCGAAGAATCCGTCCACAGAAACCACCGCCACCCTCCCTTCTTACCAAACCTCTATCCTCGCCACGATCTCTGGTCCAACAAAATTCTGTCGCGAGATTGTGCTCGTTAACGAACGTTAATTCGGCCACTCGAATAGAAATCCGCGGAAGCTCGGCCAACAGTCCACAGTTTCATGCAATAAACATCCCCTTTCAAAATTAACTGCAACAGCTTACTCGATGCGGTTACTCTCGAGTTATATATATGTATATGTATAGTGTGATCCAGGTTCAAAGTTTCGAATTTTTCGATCTTCCACTCCTTTTCCTTTTTTTTTTTTTTTTTTATTCTTCCCTCAGAATTCGGGTCAGACTTTTTTGAATTTCGGATAATTAATTCGTCCTGGTTTTTTTTTTAATTCGTTCGTGGAGAGGGAGGTTTAAATGCATGATAAAAATAAGTAAATGTGCACGCTTTTTCGTTCACAAATACAGTAAAACTTTTCTATATAAATATATAGAAAATCTTTCGTCGTCCGTGTTACTTCGAACCGATACAAATCGGTAGGATGTGCGCGTGAACGAAAATAGCACGATGGAAACGGATAATTCGCGTTTATTAAGCCGTGCTGTAGGAAAATTGTCTATAATTTTTGTTCTATAAAAAATCAAATGTTTTCGATGTTATGATAGAATTGAGTGTATACTAGTTTCATATACGGGATGGTCCAATTAAATTTAACAGTATTACATGATCCCTTCCATAACAATTTTTGTTAATAAAATTTCTTCAACAACGGAAGATATTCAAATTTGATTTCGACCGTTCTGTATATTTGCGTTGTTTAAAATTAGCTTGTTACGAATTTTATTGTATATTGTCGAAGGATTGGAAAAAAAATAATAATAATATTAATGTATTGATCGGGAAAATTCTTGGTCTTATTGCAACAGGGGGAGACATTTGTAGAGACATTTTTTTTTTTTTCCATTGCTTTTGAAAGAATCTTGATTCTCAGAGATACTTTAAGCGATTCGGTGGAAACCCAACGACTTTTACTATTTTCCAACCTCTTATCCTCTGTTTTCCCCTCTGTTTTTTATCACTCTGTTTTTTCATGATAATCCTCTTAGATATAAGTCCCGATTCTATCAGCGAGCTCGAACCGATCGAAGTTTATAGAATTCTAAAGTCAATCGAAGAAAAATGTTATTCTGTATAATTTTCCATTTTCTGCGGAGAGGTAGCCAGCTTTACTCTCTCCCATAAATGGAACTTTATATTATATCGACCTTTCGAGTTGCTCTTTTAATCGTGTTTATACCCAATCCATCCAATTTATCATCGAATAAAAATCTGTCTTCGTAAAGAATTCTTCGAAATGAAGGGTCATAATTGCTTAAATGATCCCTTTCGATTAGATTGCACCAGTCTTTTCGAGAATTTTTCGAATTGCACGACGCCATGTTGAATTTTCTTTTACCCGATCCGATAGGTCGATCGAAGCGCCACCGCGCGCGCCAAATTCAAATTAAACGTAAACATACAATCTCTTTTTCCCCATATTTCTTTCTTCTTTTCGAAAAATCTACTTTTCCTAAAATACAGCAAACAACCAACTCGATTACAAAGCCACTCGATTCCTTTTTCTAAACTCGCTTCAATTCAAACAATTCGTGTTTGTCGAAACCAGGAAGGGGAGAAGAAAAAGAAGGAAATAAATAAATAGAGAGAACAAAAAAAAAAAAAGAAAGAAAAACTACCCAATTACTCTATTACCCTTCCAACATGATTCAACGAAATACAACGTTGTGCCACATTGACAAACAATCTCCCGTGCACGCTAAACACACACGAGCCCCTGCAATCTTCCACGTCTCCACTCTCATAACTCGGAAACATCAGCGTGCACTTAATCCAGCCACGATATTATAATCCCGGTTGTTTGAACTCGCTCGCGGACCGTAAATATTAATTGAACGCAGCGAAATATGTTTCGCGGCAGGCAATTACATCACCGTCCGGGAGAAATGCAAATAATCGCGTTTGAAATTTCTACGGATATAAAATGGCAGAAAAAGGGGGGGACACGCGAACCCTCGCGAATATTCTTCCTTCTTTATTCATGGAGTTTATACGATGGAATGTTCGTGAAATTAGTGAAAATGTGAATTCCAAATTCATTTTTTCTTTTCTTTTTTTTTTTTTTTCTTTATTTTATTTTTGTAAAATGTATCGGGTAATAGGCAATTTTAGACGAGTAATCCTTTAATTCGATGGAATTCGTTTTCTCGTTTCTACGTGGAATTCTATTGCGTTGTAAAAATTTTCGAGAAATTGTTAACGAATTATTAAGCAATTGTTAGATACATTGTCACGTACGACGTTTTGTTGTATCTCTTGAAAAAAATTTTTTAAAAAAGTGCAGCATGTTCTATATTCTATGTCACGTTGTTTATTCTTTTTGAGGAGATATCGAGAAGGAGATATTTTAAACTCGTTTGTATTATTATATCGCTTCTTTATGTTCTTCGCTGATACTTTGACGCACGCAGCAAGTATAAATATTTTTTTCCAATCATGGAATATACATGCGGACAGAGAGTGGTTCGAGCAGTGACGTTAGATAAAAGTCGGAGTGAAATATTTTTCACTGTTTAACGAGCTCCATCGTTCTGTGACGCGATATACATTTTTTTTCTTTTTTTCCATATACGTCTCGATACACTCTTTTTTTTTTTTTTTAATTACAAACACTCGATTTTTTTTCGCATAAATTGATCTCACGAGCAAGTCAATAAAAGGTATAAGCTGCCGGACTATTCATCCACGAGATATTTTACTCCTTTTTTTTTTCAAAAATATTCTCCTTCCTTGATATTAACATTCCCTGAATTCATCCATTCATTTTTAAAAATATTTTACAGAGAATCAACTTTTCTTCCACCGCAAAATTACCCTTCTTGAAAATTAAAATTAATATTAAAATTAAATTATACAAATTCTAATTTCCCCCAACCTTTTTTTTTTTTTTTTTCCCTCTAACCTTCGTTCTTTTTCTCTCTGAAAAAGAAAAATTTTCGAACGAATACGTCTCCAAATACCATACGTTAATTTTGATTAATCCCTGTGAAAGAATTAGCCACGATTGTAATGCCACGCCGATTCTCATAAAATCGTGGCCTGGAGTTAATTAATTGAGAGGAGGGAGGGGGTAAATTTCAAACTGATTAGCCGGCTGTAAGGGAAATCGGGCTGAAAAATTCAATTGGAAAATATTCTGAAACTCTTCTGAACAGGGAAACGCGGAACGCGCATAATCCGAAACGCAATATTCCTCCCCGTCTCTTTTTGCCCTCTTCTCTCTTTTTTCACCCCCTCCCCCTTCTCTTTTTTCGCCCTCTGCACGCCATCACGGTACGCAGCGAAATGGCAAGCTACAGCTTTCTATGACGTACAAAGAATACGTAATCTGGGTTAACAAAGTTGGCCGGATATCTGGAATGAAATTATTTTAATATCGTGCCCGCCGCTCGAACGAGCGTCAAGCTTTGAAAATAGTTTGAAACTGGAGGGAGGGAGAAACTTTGCGAAAAAGGAGGAGGGGTGTATTTTTCCTTTTCCCCGCGGGGAAAAGGAAGATGAAACGAAGGGATTTGAAGATGAATCGTGAAACGTTTTGGGTACAACAATTGGATTGTACAGGACTGATGGTTAGATAATTTGAATATTCAAAATTGGGATGATCGTGTAAGACTGGAATTATTTAATTATTTCTATAGCGTGTCCAGCTTACGTGTAAATAAATTATCTCGAAAATACGAAAATAATGCATTAAAATTTTGGATCAGTATATTATGACGAATAACCATGAAGTACAAAGAAAAATGCCCGTAAAAATAGACAGGCATTCCCCTCAAATTAACCAATCAGACCCGCAGAAATTCGTTTATACGAATCTCAAAAAGGGACGAACAATAAGAGAATCCATCGATCGTTCTATTTTTAATTATTCGAATGGACCGAAGTCCAGCTTCATTTAACTCGTTCTACGAATTATATTAATCTGTAATATCAAATATATCAGATATATAATTGATCGTTCAACAAACTTTCGAATAAAAATTTAGACACGCGAAGTGTCTAATCGAATAATTTAATAAACAACATTAGATAAAGAATATTGGATACGTATCTAATATCTCGTTCCAACCGTGGAGAGTTAACCCAATTAAACGGAATTCGTTTGGCCTGGCATTAAACACCAGCCGGGCCATGACTTAACACGTCCGTGAGCCGAGGCCAACATCGTCGTCTAATCGTTCCAAATATCCTGGCACGAGTCGGCCAAAGGACGGGCAAACGGGTAGATCCACGCCACGGGGCCGGGTGTGCGCTGGCAGGCTGTAGTAATTATGTATGAAATTCATTAGCCCGTGTAAATATGGCCGGCGGAGAGATACAGCGGAGCGTGTACACGCGTGCATGTTGCAACAATGCACACGCAGGTCAAACATCGTGGCCCCGGGTTTACTCTCTGCTAGGCTACGCCTATGCCTGCCAGAGTCGAACGTGCATACGTAATTAGGCTGCATCTTTCCGCTCCTGCGTCTGCATTAGTCGAGTGTTGTTATTAACAGGGTTGAAACGCCTGTCGAAAGGGCCAGCTACCGAATCGTTGTTCTTGTCCTCCCTCTCTTGCACTCTTGAACAAGTTATAATTTTGAAAAAGAAATATCGAAAGTTATTAGCTTGGGAATATTGTTATTATTATTGAATCTGTCGTGAATTTAAAGATAATAGGTAAAGTCGTATGGTTGGGTATATTAAGTGGCATTTTGATTTTGAAAGGGGCTGTAGGGGGCCACCAGGTTTGGGCAGAGAAGTACAGTCATCCCTAGCTTCCCTGCTAGATGTGTAGTATCATTCGGTTTGGCGATTCGTTTGCGGTGGAAAGTGAAGGATAAACGCGATGAAGGGGGCGATGTGGTTTCGGTCGAATCATTTCGGTGGGAGATCGGTTTCTATTCGGGGGAGGGGGGCTGGCCGGATTTTGTGTTTTGTGGTAATTCGAATAGGGATGGAGGGATCTAATTAGTGTAATTGGTGGATGCTGGTGGAGACCAGCGATACAGGGAGTTAGTTATACAATTACACCGTGGTGTGGGCACCGATTATGCTGACAAATGTGTCCTTGAAATTTATTAACCGCCGAGATAATGTAAGAATACATATAAAAACTGAAACGGATGAGGAATAATGTAATATTCCGATCGACGTTTTCTCATGTTTGTTTCATTTCTCTGTTTCAGTCGCTGGAAGGTCAGAACATATATAATTCCTGTTGCACGTTGCGCATCGACTACAGCAAGATGCAGAACTTGAACGTGAAGTACAACAACGACAAGTCGAGGGATTATACCAACCCGTCTTTGCCAACTGGCGACGCGAATTTGGACGCGGCATCTCTTGCTTTGGGCGGCGAACTTCTTCCACAGTTGTTGATGGGCGCTGGATCGCAGCCTCGTGCAAGAATACCCGGTGAGAACCGTGGATTTTCCACGATTTTTTTTTTTTTTCATTAATATGATTAAAAAGAATTGGTAGATATATATATATATATATATACACACTACTTTTTTAGAAAATTAATTATTAATTTTTATTGTGGAAGAAAAAGAAACAGGAAACGAGATTTTATTTGAAATTAATTATTCGTTATTGTTATTATTTTTAACGGTGTAATTTATTATCTTTCTGAATTAAAAAATTATATTTATAGGTTATTTATTCAAGAGGTAAAACTAGTAGTTGTATGAATTATTAATAAAATAGTTTATATAATTTGCAACTTTAGTAATTATTTCATCTCTTGAAACAGGATGTTCTATTATTCTTGATGAATTTTATATACTTTGAATAATAAAAAATCTAAAGAGATGAGAATATCAAAAATTCAAATTCAAGGGTATGAAAATATATAATTGAATAATAAAAAAGAAAAATTAAATCCTGCATGCATGATAATTGAATATAATTCACAAATAAATAATAAATTTCAAATACAAAAATTTTATTCCACATTTTGTTGCTTCTGTTTCTGTTTCGAATAGAATAAATGTTTCCTTAATTGTTTCACACTTTGCAATCCAAGATACGCTTCGATGCAATTTTTCGTTGTCGCGATATCGATTGCCAATGATGAACCCATAAAAATCAGATCGATCAATTAGTCCCGTGTTACTAGAACAGTTCAGTCCATTAGAATTAATTATATTAATAGAATAGACAGGGTCTCCCTGTCACTCGATAGGCTGATAGGTTTATGATAAATTGTCGTATCGTGAGTCAGTTGCTGTATCGGATTCGTTTCCAATTTACCCCTCGTTTTCAGCTTCATTTTCGCGCGGTATCGAATCGCGCGCGGTTAGACTATATATTTTCCCTGGCAAATTAATTAATTACGTTTCAACGCCAGGGGCGATCGATCCAGGCCGACGTTTCGATTTTATCCATCTTCGATCTCCACCTTTCATTCCTATATTTTATGTATCTGAAATATCTTTTTCTTCCTTGTCTTTTTATTAATAGTTTCATGGATGTGGAAAAATTTTTTTTTAAATTTGTAAACTAACAGTCTTACCTCTTGAATTACAATATGAATATATATGTATATATATTTTATACTGAATCTTAACTATAACAAAAGAATTGATTTAGAAAATAAATTTCACCTGGCATTTTGATCATAAAAATTACAAAAATCTTAAGACATCATTGAAAGAAAAAAAAAAAAAGAACAAAAAGTCCTACAAAGTTTACTTCTTTTTAATTTTTTTTTTTTTTTTGCAATATATAATCATCTTAGAAATTCTTCCTTCACAAATTTTCGAAATCTTAGAATTCTATTATACTATATATAAGTATAGCATTATACTTTTTTTAAAAACAAAATCTTATTCATCTCTTTTCAACTTTTTGCGACTTAATTTCGTGTATAGAGATCCCTAGAATTCCCTAGAATTACGCAAATTCCTATATAATTCCTCCACTTTTAAAATCTTATAGAATTTACTTTTTTTTTTTTTTCCAATTTTTTTGCTAACTATAATTCCATTTGACTTTATCTCGCGTATCCACAATTTCCCCCACAATTGTTCTCCCATCGTCGAAATCCTAGAGTTCCCTGCATTATCCAAAATCCCCCAAAAACCAAAATTCCACTAAAATTTACCTCTCTTCAATTTTTCCTGCGACTATAATGCCGCGTGAGATCCCCAGAATTCCATCAGCTAATTCAAGTCCTAGAGTTCTCCCCTCAATTTCCCCCAAAGAGATCCCCCATCACCCAAGTCTAATTAGAGAAACAATGCTAACTATAGCTTGTAAATTTTCTGAAGTAGAGTCCATTGCAGGGGCACCGGGTGTGCTGCCCACGCCCTTTGCGGCCATGCACGGTCTACCCTCGCCCTTAGCAGGCCCGTACAACGGGGTTCCACCTGCCGGCGGATTGGCTGGCCTCGGTGGGTTCCCTTTGGGTGCAGCTGGCCTTGGGGTGCGCGTCCCCACTAATGCGCAAACCTCCGCTGTCCTGCTCGTCAGTAATCTCAACGAAGAGGTGAGTGATTTTGAATGGCGTTTAATGGAATTGTTATGTGATGTGGTCGAGGACATGGAGATCCAAAATCGAAGGCACAAAGAAAAATTTTAAATCTCGATTTTTCCCTTTTTTTTTTTTCTTTTTCTTTTGCATCATCGCTATTGATGACACGTTGCAATATTATTCTGAATTATTTGTTTATCTATCATTACCTTGAATTAAAAGGGCACTCGAATAATGGTAAAAAAATTGTTTCAAGTTTTTTTTTTAAGTGAAACAATATATGTTCTTTTTTAATTTTTTTTTTACAACTTAAAGGAAAATTAATATCAATGATATTAATAATAATACAATATAACTTAAAAAGAAATGTTTCACATCTATCTTTATTTACTTTATCCAGAAATGAAATTATAATTATCATGTCGAATTTTCCTTCGTGCCTTATCAAAGAAACACCGCTAAAGTGTACAGAACGTTATTAGGAGTAACGTTCTAAGTAGAAATCAGCATTAATGAAATATGCAAATTACGATCAAACGTACTGTACGCTTTCGACTAGGTTAATTTTAAATTAACGCTGAGAGAAATAAAGCTGTAAAGATTTTTTTTTATTATTAAAATTATTTCTCTTTCATCCGAGATCACGATTATTTTTAACATTCTGAATGAAGCGTGAAGCGACATATATATTTTTTTTCTTTCGTCGAATTGGAAGAGACAATTTTTTAAATATTACGTTTAAACTATATTCTCGTATATAATTTTTATTTCTCTCAACGTCCACCTATGTACACGAAACTGGCTTAGGTACGTACGTATCCACTAAAAAATTCATCTAAATACAACGATATGATATTATAACGTAGTGCTACGTAGGCAACCCTAGCAGTTTCTCCATCCCTCGATCCGAATTTTCCTTGTCGAACGTTTTTCTCAATCTGTCTCCAAATACGATGAAAATATACCTGTCGATTAATTTTCTTATCTTTTTTTTTTTCATTCCTTTTTTTTTTTCTCCCCTCTTTATTTTGAATGAAGCGTTGTTTCGTTCGACAAGCAAAAAAATCGAGATCTCGATGCGTATGTGCCCTCTTTACGTGACGATCCCTTCTTCTTTTACCCTCTGCCCCTATTATATGCCCCCTTCATTTTCAAAAACACACATATAGAAGCATCGTTCCGAACGATCATCATCCTCTATTCCTAAGTAATTCGTGGCGTTTGTTAATCGCGACGTTTACTTCCGGCGAGGCGTTTTTCGTTTCTGAACCTTTTTGAAAATTATTGAAAAGTATAGAAAAATATGTATATGCAATTATAAAAATAATTTGTAAAAAGAAAAAAACGTGGTATCTTTCTCAAGAATTCAAATCCAAGATCATTTTTCCAATATTCATAAATCTCATTTCACAAAATAAGCCTTTTCTTATGTTACGCCTTCAATAAAATTCTGCTACTTTTACGCTACGTTTTACTTTCATTTTGAATATTATTTTTTTCAAATTTTATTCTCTCAACTTATACTAGTGTTTGTAGTATACTATTATTATTATTATTATTATTATTATTATTATGTCTTATTAAAAATAAATCCTCGTTGGAAACGAAAGGCGCCTCACAAAGAAACTGTGTGTTGACGTCACACTTCGCAGCTGCAACTATTGTCACTACTGTACTATAACTATGTGTACTACTATCGTTGCGCCGCGCGCACAAGCTTCCAACCAAGTGTCTTTTTCCTCTGGCGAGCAAACGATCAAGTGTTTTTTTATTATCTCTATTCCCTTCTCTCTCTTACACATATATATATATATATATATTTGTATCTCACCCTAGCTTCGAAAGTGACAAAATTGTGAGAAACGGAGATAATTTTTAATTTTTATAATCTCAAAATATTTCTTTTTCGTTTTTGTTTTTTTTTTTTTTTGAATCGTTTCACTTTTGTAGAAAGGGTGTAATATATCTATATACATATTGTTACGATATTTCTTCTTTTAAATGTTTTTTTCATTTTTTATTTATTTGGTTCTATTTTTTTTATTTTATTTTTTTTTTTATTTTTTTAACCCCTCGAGTGAAATCACGTGTATCGAGGAACGATTAGAACCGCGAGGGATTCATATTGACGAGAAGGTCCCGCTCTTTTCTCTGCTTCTCTAAGTCTCTCTGTCTCTCTCTCTGTTCTCTCCTGTTCTCTCCTTTCTCGATCGCGGCCGCAGGAAATTTTATTGGAAGAAGAAATTCCAGCCCTTTCGCTGACTTTGATTTATTTGGTTTTTTTTATTTTTTTTTTTTTTTTTTTCTTTCTTTTAATACAAACTATGGTCACTGTGATCCCTATTTTTGAACAATTTTTCTCTTTTTTATTTTTGGAAATTTTCGTTTTATATACATTTGTAATGGAAATTTAAATAAATAATTATTTTTAACTTTATCTTCTTTTGAAATCGAAGAAAAGAATTATTTTTTTGTACAACAAAGCTTGAATTTTTTTTTTAGATAAGAATTATAATATCTTTGAATCGATATAATTCGAATTTAGAATCGTTTCACTTTTGTAGAAAGGGTGTAATATATCTATATACATATTGTTACGATATTTCTTCTTTTAAATGTTTTTTTTTCATTTTTTTATTTATTTGGTTCATTTTTTTATTTTATTTTTTTTTTTATTTTTTTTAACCCCTCGAGTGAAATCACGTGTATCGAGGAACGATTAGAACCGCGAGGGATTCATATTGACGAGAAGGTCCCGCTCTTTTCTCTGCTTCTCTAAGTCTCTCTGTCTCTCTCTCTGTTCTCTCCTGTTCTCTCCTTTCTCGATCGCGGCCGCAGGAAATTTTATTGGAAGAAGAAATTCCAGCCCTTTCGCTGACTTTGATTTATTGGTTTTTTTTTTTTTTTTTTTCTTTCTTTTAATACAAACTATGGTCACTGTGATCCCTATTTTTGAACAATTTTTCTCTTTTTTATTTTTGGAAATTTTCGTTTTATATACATTTGTAATGGAAATTTAAATAAATAATTATTTTTAACTTTATCTTCTTTTGAAATCGAAGAAAAGAATTATTTTTTTGTACAACAAAGCTTGAATTTTTTTTTTAGATAAGAATTATAATATCTTTGAATCGATATAATTCGAATTTAGATTAAAGTAAAAATCTATTTTAAGCAACGAAACGAATTTATTTAATGATTAATATAATTATTTGATCTGAATTAAACAAAATATGTAATTGTAATAGAAATCAATTAGAATAAAATCTATAAAAACTAGGCAAAAATTAAATTCAATAAAAAAATCATTTTACATAATTTTAAAAAATTCAAAAACGAAGCTTCTTCTTCCAAATTTTTGTTTAATTATTATTATTATTTTTTTTTTTTTTTTATTCTTTTTAAGATACCCAAATTCATCATAGTGACACAGTTTTATCAATAATTTGTTATACAAAGTCAGCAAATAGTCTGGAATATTCGTAAAGTTTGAAAACAAGGCCGTATAGATGAGGCCTGTGAAACTTGTGCGCGTGCCAACACTATACATTTGAATCCTATTATACTCGCTGACTACTGACTGGACTCTGTCTGTTCTCTGTGTAGATGGTCACGCCTGACGCTCTCTTTACCCTGTTTGGTACGTCTCCACATTTATATTATTAATTATATTACATTATTAATTATTATATTTACACGCGCGGGATACACTGACACAGTACATGCACAAATACACTTCAACTACACTTCAGAGACACATTTCTTAGACACATGTTTTTACATAGATCAATAGTGACTGTGAGCATTTTTGGAGAGTAGAAAAAAAAAAAAAAAAAAAGAGATCGAATAATTAATTTTTTTACTTTTTTCATATTTCTTTTGTTTTCAAACTTTATTACCTATATGATACATGAAAACACGAACAGAATATAGTGTAAAAATCGATATGTATAGTAGTTTGTATCATCGATCGTTCGTCATGATTGTTCTATTAATTTTTTGATTTTTCTTTTTTTTTTTTTTTCCCTTTTCTTCTTCTTTTTGAAAGAATGTTTTTTGTGGAAGATTTATAAATCATTAATCACTCTCCTCGTCACGTGTACTTATGATTTTTTATTTATTTTTTTTTCTTTCCCCTTTATTATTTATTGTTTTATATTTACTTTAAATTTTTATTTTTACTCACCTCTGTGAATTTCTTGTTTTATTATTTATTTATTTTTATCGTCTCTTACGATTCTTAATTCTATGATTTTTTATTATTTTATATTTTTAATTACGCTATAACTGTTCTTATTCTCATTCATCGAATTCACCCCCATGCCCATAATCATTGTTCGATTCTTAATCATCGGCCGACACCGTTTTTTTCATGTTCTCTATTTCCAAGCATCTCTTCTAAATTGTTTCATTAATATTTTATTAATATCAGTTCCAGACACCTTAATATTACATAAGCTTTCGCTTATTTTATCGTAATATATCCATAGGAGACTCACTTTTCGCGGGTCAAACGGTTCAGCCATTTTCTATCCTCGAAAAATTTTACGTCAATTGCAAAGAAATATATCAAAAAAAGAACAATAATATTTTCTCTTGCAAATAATGAAATAAATTTTATCCAGTAGTAATAATAATAACAACTTATTAAAGAAAATTTAATTCAACGATTCGTAAATCAATTTTATCCGATAAAATGTTATCAATAATAAAGTTCACATTTAAATTATATTCGATCGAATATATAATTAATCGATTTTAATATCTCATGAAATTTAACGACATGTATATATGTATGATTGATTGGCTGAACCGATTGCCTATTTGCATGTCCCAGATCTTAGTCCGATCGTACCCCGATCTCGATCGATTATTATCATCGTTTATTATTGTTATTATTATTGTTATTGTTGTTATTATTATTATTACTATTATTATTATTATTATTATTATTATCATTATCATTATTATCACCATCATTATTATTATTGTTGTTATTATTATTATTATTATTATTATTTTATTTTTATTTTTATTTTTATTTTTATTATTATCAGTACTACTACTACTACTACTATTACTACTACTATTACTATTATTATTATTATTTTTACTATTATATATTAATATTATTATTATTTTATTATTATTATTATTATTTTACTATTATTGTCATTATTATTAATATTATTATTATTATTATTGTTGTTGTTGTTGTTGTTGTTGTTGTTATTACTATTATTATTGTTATTATTACTATTATTATTATTCTTATTATTGTCCTGTTTCTTCGACTCGATAATCTTTAGACGCCCGCGATTATTAATGATGAGGGGCTGATTAAAATGATGTGTTGCGTGTTGTGCATGTAGGCGTTTACGGGGATGTACAGCGTGTGAAGATTCTCTACAACAAGAAGGACTCGGCACTGATTCAGATGGCCGAACCGCATCAGGCGCACTTAGGTAATTGTCTTTTTTCATTTAATTTGCACTTTTTTCTTGAAATAGAGTTTTTTCTTTTTTTTTTTTTCCAATTTCTCTCATTGACGATCTGCACGATATTTCGCAAATATGAATTAATGATCGATTCATAATCCAATTTTACGAAAAGATTGTCAAACTTTTTCGAACGATTCAAGTTTAAAAGTTTAAAAAAAATCTTTTTTGTTAAATGGATTGTTAAATGGTATTTTGATCGATATCAACGGTTCCATGTTATTTATTGTATAAAAAATTTATAGAAAAATTTGTTGCGATCGTTAAGAAATGTTTCGATAATTTTATTGAATTTTAAATCCTAGCACTGACGCACATGGACAAATTGCGAGTATTTGGCAAGCAGATCAAGGTAATGCTCAGCAAGCATCAGACGGTTCAGTTACCGAAAGAGGGCCAACCAGACGCTGGATTGACGAAAGATTACACCAATAGTCCTCTTCATCGGTTCAAGAAACCAGGCTCCAAGAATTATCAGAACATTTATCCACCAAGTTCCACTCTGCATTTATCAAATATTCCGTAAGCAAATTTTATCTTCTTTAATTTTCCGTAATTATTTCCAATAATAATATCGAAGTAAGTTTTATCCAATTAATACCCGAGGTATTGAAATATATTTCATGTTTTCAGTACAACTGTAACCGAAGAGGAGATCAGGGATGCATTCACCAAAAATGGCTTCACCGTGAAGGCATTCAAGTTCTTCCCGAAAGACAGAAAGATGGCGCTTATACAGATGCCAAGCATGGACGATGCCGTAGCTGCTTTGATCGTAAGTGTCCTTCCTAATATAATTTAATTTTTCTGTTATATTATTATTATTATTTTTTTTTTTTTTTTTTAAATACACTTGATCTTTCTTCTCCTTATTTTGAAATTTCCAAGGATTGTTATCATATATTGGTAATAACCTAAATTCGAAATTACATAAAAGTTGATCGATTCAACGCTCGATTCATTCGAATTGTATTTGTAATTCCCGCTTTGTTTCGTGCTGAACCAGCGTTGACGAGGCTAAGGTGAATTTATAACGCGTTTATTATTTACCATGTGAAAATTCATCAGAGAGGCGTAATTAGTTTAGTCATTGGCGCCTGGCATTGTTTGCCTTTGATACAATTGAACGGAATTATAAATAACAAATCTGCATTACGCCTGCGCGAAATTAAATCGTTTTACTCGTCATAAAATAATCATTGTTCATCATTTCCCACGATTCATTCGTCCCTGTTTCTAGTTTCGTTCCAACCAAGATAATTAATCTTTTGTACATTAAATATGAATATTATCATGAGGGATTATTGAATATCTTTTCATTGTGCAATCAAATCAAAAACATATTGTAAAGGTAATGAATTATTATTATTATTATCATTGTCACTCGCTTGGAAATATAAATATGGATGATTCAACGAGAATGATAAAAAATATGATGAAAATATTCGGATTAAAAAAATTGATACTGAAGTATATATAAAAATATGTAATTCTGGAATATTATTATTGCAAATAATGTTAAAGAGATATATTTTTTTTTATAATAAAACGGAATAATAATTATTTTCCGCGTAACAAAATAATATATATTTTTAGGGGAATTAAAATTAAATACGGAAATAAAATTCAAATATAACTTTTATTATTCGGTTCGTATGTAATTTATTTTTTAAAAAATATATATTCTTTTTCGTGTCATAATTCACACATACACAATCGTTTGATCTTCTATCTATGAAACAACTCAACAGACTAATTTACTCGTCCACCATATCTAAAATTAAAATTTAAGAAATTGATAAAATTAAGAAGAAACGCTTTTGTTAGATTAACAGTCTTCAAGGGTATCCTTGATTCAAAATCACTTCTTTACTCAATCTTTCTTCTCTACCTCACTAACAAAAATTGTTCATCTATTGCAGAAAATGCACAATTACCAGTTAAGCGAGTCCAATCACCTCAGAGTGTCATTCTCGAAGAGCAACATCTAACAAGAATCACAATTAAGCAACCTGCAGAAACCGCGATCAATGAGAAGGGGACCCAAGGTGATCCAAAATTTTAAGTGAAACTCCCAATGTTAAAAGCGTTGAAAAAAAAAAAAACCTGTTAAAAACCAAAAACCTGTGCGGACCAAGGAAATTCGGGGTCTGGTTCGAGCCACGCAGTAGACAAGGCTTAGTGTCTACAGAGGTTATTAGGAGTAAATAATTAAACAAGAGACAAGAGATGCTACGTATTGCTCGGAGGAGGGCCTTTGAAAATGGAAATGCGGGTTTCATTGGTTAACTTCTCACAGACCAAATACAATCATAAAAATAGGCATATATACGTATTGGGCCAAAAAGTCTGAACAAACACTTACTTACAAATAAGATCTTATAGAATTGCGTTTAGGGGGCGAGCAAATATGAGCAAGGGCATCATTCCTTTTATCCCCATTAAAAGACTTTCTCCCGGCAACACGTGGTATCTGTACTTTCACATAATTTGCAAACACCCACGCAAACACGGACAAACCATCGCACACTATGTTATACACCCTGCATTACATCTTCAGACATCCCCAAACACACTGAAACACACTCAATCAAGCAAACTTCAATATAATACATAATATATATATATATTTGATATATCGCAATGTAACAGGTGTGTCCAAAAGTGCGCAGCGGCTACATCCCAATAATCTATATTTTATTAATAACTGATAAGGACTTAGGATTATCGACGTTAACGGTTTATGGTAATCGAGAGCTAGAGCAGAGAGAAGAAGAAAAAAAAAAAAAAAGAATTAATCTATTACGAATCTGTCGTGACACACGCGGTACATATACATATATATATATATAAATTATATAAAATTAGAGACACGATGATCTGAGCACGACGAACCGAAAAAAAGAACGAAAGAGAAAGAGAGATAGAGAACTCGTGAACACGAGAGAGACAGAGTGAATGGAAGCGAGCGAATGAGCACAATCCAGGGAATATCCGAGAGATATAAGTATGATGATAATATTGTATGCGTGTAATCCTCCTGTTGAAAGTTCAGGACTTTAACGTAGATATGCCGGTGGTTTGTATGCCTAATCGGGGCCTTAGGCGTCGTTCACACCACAATTCAAGGGAACCAGCTGTTTATTCGATTATTCTTCTTCGCCCACAATTGAACAAAAACGAAAAAGAAAAAGAAAAAAAAAAAGAAGAAGAAGGAGAGAATGATAGGGGAAGAAAGGGACGATATTTCACTGCTATTCGAGCAAGCTTTTCTCCACGATGGCTGTTACACGAATTAAATTAAATGACGATGAAAAGAGGATCACTATATATATATATAAATAACCAATTTAGCAAGAAGAAATAGAGAATCGTTGAAGAGATCGTTGGACCGATTCGAAAGTATGTCTATCTCAAATGTGAGTGATCTTCTTCTGCGTCTCTTCTCCACTTCTATGATTTTTAAAAAAAAATTTCTCTGTCGACAACATATCATTGTGCTTTTCCTTCGAAAAGACACACATTGTGCTTTGGGTATCGATCCAACGTTTTCTCTTTTGTTTTCTTTTTTTTCTTTTTTTTTTTTTTTTTTTTCGTTCGTTTTCCAAGAGGTATAGTGATGCCTCGAATTAGATTTCGATCAGGATAGCGACTTGGTGTGCCTGTTGAGTGATTCTGTAATCTTCTTGCCTGCTTTTCTCTTCCACGGTCGCTGTAATTGACGTTAAAAAGGGAAGAAACGTTTGATAGAATATCGGTTTTCCGACAAACATCGGTTAACCGGACTTCTATCCGGTCTATCGTTAATTGGTCGTTACGACCGTAACGTCGAACAATAATTGCCAAAACGCGACGAAAAAGAAAAAGAAAAAAAATAGGAAAACGAAAAAAAAAAGAGAGAGAGAAGGGTATATATAAAAGTAAGCACACAACTGTAGGGAAGAGAAAGCGGAAACTGAGCCTAATTAATTAAACGCGAAGAGTTTTCTCGACGACCCCATCGAATTTACGAAAAAAAAAAAAGAAAAAAGAAAAGAAAAAA